AACGTTTAGAAATAATAATTTTGAATTATTATTTCATTGTCATAATAATAAAAAATTATAAATGCATATAATTTACATAAATCACATATATATGTTTCTGTTTCATAAATAATAATTAGAACAAGATATTATTTCTTAACAAATATTGAAATAATTGTAATGTACTTGCGTGTGCTCGAGCTTATATAGAACTGTCAATGCTGTTGATATTAGTTTGATATACGTAGCTGTACATATACGAGACGAATTATATAACAAGAAAAAATATCAACTTTTAATTTCTTTTTTAAAATAGATGAGTGAAAGTTGTGAAACTACCTGTATAATAGATAAATAATAATGAAGTTTACCTGTGGATTCACTGGAAAAATATTGTCAACGAGTCTTTTATATCGTGGTCGTAATGCAGAACAACACCAGCAACAACCTAATGACAATTGAAAGAGAATGTAATAAATATGATGCGGAACGCTGTAAATTGTGTAGAACACTCGACAGTCATCGATGACATAAAATCAAAAAGATTGTTTGTTTTACAAACAAGTTACCAGTGTTAAAATGGAATTATAATATTTACCAAACATTTCGACAGGTTCCAGCCACTACAATACACACGAGAAGACAAGAAGACTTCGATCGACTGATATTATCAATGGAGTGCAATTTTGAACTACTAAAGCCGCACCTTGATACTAACATGCTATATTCTTAATTTGTCTACCAGATATTCAAAATTTATCTATAGACAGTTATTATTATCAAAGTATTAATAGCCGGCTTTGCATAATAATTAAATATTTCATAAAATAACAAAATATATACGAAAAATGAACGATGGCACCATCTACTACCGAAGTTATTCAAATAGTTTCAAAACATTTTACATAGATGGCACTATGGATTTATTCTTTTTAGCAACTTTATCTGTAAATCATTGGCGATGGCGCGTACAATAAAAAATATTACAAATTTCAATTCTCAATTTTAGTTATTCTGGATTTTCGGTTAGTCAAGAATAACTTATATTACAGTTGGCATTTACTACTTGTTTTCCTATAAATTTTTACATTCTTATTGTCAAATCATAAACAAGATATAGTAATATACCTAACTGTCTGGTAGCTGTTTACAGAGTATGCGTCTGCAATAACAATTTCTCCCATGTAAATATGAATTAAAAAAAAATCCGAGTTATTTCATTTATATGAGAGACTCATATGTTACTATTAGATGGCGTCACCATTCACTTTTCTCAATCATCGAGTTTTATTTAATTTTGATTATCCTCAAAATAATAATTTCGGAAATTTACTCACCGTTTACAGAGAGAGAGATAGTATTTTTAATAGTCAATTATTTGAAATTTTATGCTTTTACTGCTGTAAGATATTAATACGCAGCATCACGACAAGTATTCTTAAGATGATTAACTGAAAGATAAATTAAATGTGAAAAAAAAGTTCACATGATGGTATTAAAAGAAAGTGTGTAAATATGAGCGTTATTTGTTTATATTTTGTAAAACGTGTTGCAAATATTAAACATATTCGAGCAAAACTAGTTTCTTTTATATGTTTATCAATGTCTATCTGGAATACAAATGACAGTAAATGTATTTGCTTTTGTGTAATGTAACGTTCATGGCATTTAAGGAGATTGTCCGCCAACCGAAGTAGAATAACGCAAGATATTTCGGATGTTAACCACACGGCTTCAGAAATCAATAATATCCGTCTGTTCGCACAATACCACGTGGCAGCTACATAGGACATGTTTAGACGGTATTCTCAACTCGGCAACTTAGATATTAGCAATTATGGCAGTTTAATTATACGGTAAACAATATACAACGAAAGTACGACAGCGACATGTGATATTACTAATTGCCACACATCAAATCCGAACTTAAACTTCAAATTAGGCGGAAAGAAAATTGTGTTTAACTACATCATTTTGCGAGTTTGTCCAAATTGTTGAAACTGCAAAACCGTTAAGCACACACACACACGTGCACCTGTTACAAATCGTGTGTACGATTTATCTCCACTTTAAAACGAAGAAACAATTGATCTAGTTTGCACCAAGGACACCGTATATTTTTCAACTATTAACATATGACCGATTGTTATCTTTCGAATACAAATTTCCACACAATTATCCTATGTACTAAATAAATTCCGTGGATGTACAGATATATTCAGGGAAATCTACAGAAGTGTGTCTACCTAATAGTGTAACCTAATAACTAGACTGCGGATCTCCATGAATTTATGGCAACCGCAAATGCGTAAAATAAAGTCAAACACGGTGAAAGAGAAGTTTTGCGCATACTAATCTGTCGAAATGAAAATTCCCATAAAGGTCTACGCTTATAACACTATTAACATCTGCTTCAACGTGATACTCGTATACGAAGCTTTAAACCATAATTAACGATCTTTGCTTAGCACAATCTTCAAGATCAACGACAGCGCTTAAAATATGAAGAATAATTAAAACATGATTTGTACTCACAGCCAGGGTCAGTGCACTTCTGTATGACAGACTCGAAGACGTCCGGCACTTCTGTCTCGAAGCAACATCTGATCATAGCCATTTTTGCGGTCCTCCACGTGTCCCATGGGTAGTTTTATAAAGAAAAATTACACTAATTTCGGATATTTCACTGGCCTGGTTAAGCGATACCGGAGAAGCATCTTCTATAAAAGTTTCCGGGCAGAAGACGTGTCCGGGAGGATCGAGCTGGCAATAGGAGAGCGACGTCGACGCTCGGCGTCGCGACGTCCGTGCCCCACTAACCCGCATTCGACGCACGAGGGCACCCTTGACAGTACTTTCCCTGACTACGTCACGAAGCAAGCACGCGCCTGTGCGAAGGGTTGCCGAAGAGAGGAAGGGCGTCAGACAGAGGGTGGGCGAGCTCGTGGCGCCGCTCCGAATACGAGCTGTCCTCCTCATGGTCGCGGTCCGTGTAAATCAATGCCAAAATGGGGTTGTCTGCGGAGCTCTATGTAAACCGAGAACGTGGAAACCAGTAGGAAAATTTTCAAACCAGTCCGAGACAGCCAAGGATGGGTTTCGGTCCAATATGTACAGTGATTCACGAAACTGTTTCAACATCTTTTCGAACGAAACAATATTTTTAGGATTGAATAATCTTTTCAGCATTCCAAGAAATTGCAATGTCTGCAAAATTTTTGTTGAACATCGTTTAGTAAACCACCCCCTATAACATCTAAAACGATTCACGTAATTTGGTACAACTTTAAGAATGTTATTTCTTTTAAAAAGGTGTTCAAATGCCTAGTTGTTGCGCATGTCATGTTGTTAACGTTTAAATTGCGGTTTTACGACAGAAATAATTTGTTGGGCCTGCATTTTACGTCATAAAAAAATCTCTAGTCTGACTCACCGTGATCGTAGGCTGTGTAAGTTAATCAAACCAAAATCAGGTTGTCTGCGGGATTCTAAGTAAACTGAGAATGTAGAAACAAGTAGGAAAGAAAGTTTCTTTTCCTCGCAATTTTATCAGATAGAAAGTAATATATTGATAGTCTTCGATATACTTCTAATCTAATCGAATACTTCTAATCTGTTTACTGGTTGATTGCTTACATTTTTCATAAATACATAAAATCCGTAGATTGCACATTTATACTAAATGTTAATTCGTATAGAAAGTTTATAACTATACATAGGTGATATTAGCTAATTTTGCGCAATATCGTACGGGCAGGTCAAGAAGAAAGTTTCCATTTTGAATAGTTTTTGTGCAAGCAATATTTTAAGTTCAAAAGTTGCGTGAGTCAATGATATACAGTAGAACTACCATAATGGGTACCACAGGCGAGTGGGCCCATATGGCTGACCCACACGTTCAACCATACCAAAGACGGCGAGGACATTGGAGCAGTGTCGATGACGTCACCATTCATCGGCGACAGTAATTAATCCTATTATATCGCTGTGCCTTCAACTAGGCCGTACACTTAATTAAATTAACGTGTATAAGAGGAACTTTTTGGTAAATATTTTCGTAAAATATACTCGCAATGAATTATGAGAATTTGTACGAGATGATTTAGACACTTTTCAGGGCATTACTAATTTAACCAAGCGCTATAAACTTAACTAGAAAGTACTGCGTGGCACTCATATCTTTATCTGTAGAAAGCAGCAGTCTTGTATCGACGTATCGATAACGACGAGATTGTCTTTATTAATTTAACAAGACGGCGTTCGTCAACATTTATTTATCACCCGTTTCAGCATTCGCGTTTCATTTAACGATAAAATAAACTTTTACGTTATTAAACTAAGAAAAATCTTTTAATAAATATTCCATAAATAAGGGATTGTTCATAGTATCCAAATATGTGTATAGAGGAACATAGGACATAGAGAAAAAGTTAAGATAAAGCATCGTACTTTCTATTCTATTCTTTATTCACGTGTATTAATTTACATTAAATTAAGAGCAGGACAACTGTATTTAACTTACGCGTTATTCACGGTTCATTCACGCATTGATCGAACATGTGTGTTTATGAAGTGTTATGCAACGTTCAAATCAGGGTTTTTAAATTAATATTCCATGGCTCCGCGAATGAAATCCAGTGTATCGTAGACGCTAGTGAAAACGTCGGGTTCGCCACGCGCGCATGGGATGCCACGAGATACAACGCCGACTACTTGACCGTTGTAGACGAGGGGGCTGCCACTGTCACCCTGCGAAGATAAACAGACAACAATATTATCTATCTCGTAAAAAACATGTTTGCGAACTTCACGCTAAACAATCGCTTTTCTTTTTAACCTTTTAGGTACGGCTAAATTCTGCACGAGGCTATTTCTCTGGACGGCAGAGTTTGATGTGTACTGTACAGAGTCTGTGTACTGTATATACAGGGTGTCCCAAAAATGTCTCGCAATCCGAAAGTGGCGGGTTCCTCAGGTCATTTGAAGCAACTTTTTCCTTTACAAAAATTTTCTCCGAGGCACCGTTAACGAGTTATTAACGAAAAACACTGGCCAATGAGAGGCGAGCTCAGCTGGCGCGAGGCGACCGAGCCAATCAGCGGAACTGGGATTCGACCGCTCGACCGCTGGAGCTGTTGGCTCGGCCGCCTAGCGTCAGCTGAGCTCGCCTCTCATTGGCCACTGTTTTTCGTTAATAACTCGTTAACGGTGCCTCGGAGAAAATTTTTGTAAAGGAAGAAGTTACTTCAAATGATCCGAGGAACCCGCCATTTTCGGATTACGAGACATTTTTGAAACATCCTGTAGACTGTTGTAAATCGATATGAAGACAAAAGAAGTGTGAAACAATGCATATGAAGACGATTATTTGATTCAAACGATGAGCGAGTGAGCTACTAGAGCAAGCCACTATAATGACGCGACGTCCAGAGAGATGACATCCGCGAAAGCCACTATAGTGGCGTGTCGTTCTGAAAGATGTCATCCGCGGAAGCCACTATAGTGGCGCGTCGTGCCTAAAAGGTTAAAGCCGAGCAACTATTCTATCATCTATGTCGAGTCTGTCATCAATACAACCAGCAGTTTCTTTCGAATCGTACTTCACTAAACAAATATTTACAGAAATTTAACAACCCTGGAATTTTTACAAAATTTCTGTGCAGACGAGCAACAGGTTTCTGCTACTTACGGGGCATAGGCCGCTGTTGAGGCCATTATACGTGCAGATCACGCTCCTCGAAACGTCCAGATTACTGAATTGAGCGCATTCGCTGAAGCTGATCATGTGAAGGTACAGGTACTGTAACGTATTAGACAGGCTGCCATAAGGTGGTGAGGATGTCTCGCCCCATGCGGACACGATGGCGTAATTATTAGCAGGTGGATCGCTGGTGGGAAGAGCGACAGCTTGTTGCAACGTGTTGAAATTTATCGGATCGGCAAGCTGCAAATAAACGATATATTAATTGTATTTATATATATTTATTATATTATTTTATTATAATAATTTAAGAAAACAAGGTAGGATTTGATTCGCGAAACGGTCAATTTGATCTGTGCAAGGAGGAAATTTTGCTTGCACAAGGCGAATTTGATTCACAAAAGGATCGATTTCGTTTAAAAAGAGGTGAAATTAAATGAAATTTTCAACTTCGATAAAAATGATCGTTCGAGGCTGTTAAAGATCAATTGTAGCGATAAAATCTTTCATTCGGCTAGCTTATTTTAGCTATCATTTAGTTATCATTTTTCCACAGTTTCCAATTTGTTTACAGAAAATATTTTCTGACTTCGTCAGCAGTTTGGTAGTAGAAGCTGACAGTGAATCGATAATGATTTCTGGAATAAAACAGATTACCTTGATTACTCCCACGTCATTGTTCGGTTGACTGTTGGGGTTATAGCTCGGATGGGTAACCATGTTAGCCACACGATGGAACTCGCCACCTTGGTCAAGGTAGATAGTGCCACTGACGACAGATACGTCATCGGACGCTTGAAGGAGGGCATTCACACAATGCGCGGCGGTGAGGACGTGGTACTTGCCGATAATGGAACCACCGCATACATGACTACCCCCTATTCTAAGGGACACCATGTAGGGAAACTCACCGGGTTGCGCATCGGTAGCGCCTACTAATTTTTCGGGTGCATCTGCGTTCACTTGTGAACAGAAAATACATATTTCGATTTTCAGAATTTGTCTTGCTGCAACCGTAACTAGCTACACGATCGATTCTTACGTAGAATTATTCCGTATAGACTATCCCGAATATGAGTCGTTTATTTTGAAAGTGGCATAAGTCACTTTACCGTAATGAAAAGTGGTGATTTTTTAATGTTTATACGAAATTATTTATACCGAGAAAAATATCAGTATCCTGAGATAACAAATACAAGGAAAAACCTTTTCGAAAGTTAGCATCCATATTTTGAAACGTGTTAAAACGCAAAGAGACTTATGCAACTTTCAAAATAAACGGCTCATATAATGGAATATTTTTTTTCTAACGGTACATTTTTGCAGAACGTAATATTTCGTTATGAAAACAATTTTTAATTCGCAACGTCTAAAGTTTAATCTAATATAATAATATTGTCAGAATAGCGTACCCGATAGTGTTAATTACTCGAGTGAGAAAAATATGATATAACATTTTGCATTAAAATTTATTGTCAATGCGTTGTACTCTGACAATTGTTTAAGGTACTTACCGAAGGCAATCGCCCCGAGGAACAGAAGTGTCGTGAAACTTGGAGACATGGTTTAGTCTACTAATGAACGTTTGCTGTCGCTATGATGACATGGCTACGATGTTGTGATGCTTATATAGCACTAGAATGTTTGTTTTTAACCTTGAGTAACAGATGCTGTTGTCGACATTGTGTGTTTACATTTAATTGACGAAATAAAACTGTTGACAGACCCATATTTTAATTATTCATACGATAGTACGCACGAATCGTAAGAATTCGAAGGTGTATTCATTCGACCAAACTGTTCGGTGACATCGAGCATAATTTTTAGGATCGTTACGAGCGAGCGTTAAGTTATCGTTTTATTACTGTAATGTTGTTGTACGGCAATATATTAAACGACTGTTCATAAATATAAACGTAACGTTAATTTTCGTATTGCGATATATATTTATATATTTTTGGTGCGGAAAAATTAAGAATGCAATGTTCTCATCGATTGAAAATAGTTTAGGTTGGCATGGGTTAAACAATATATTATAATTGCTTCGTTATCTAGATCATCGGATCTCGGGCAACCAAACTAGATTTTGCTTAACATTTTATTCTTGTACAGAGATGTCTTCGTAAATATAAGTTATTTATGACGTAACTCCGATATCTGAAATTGAACGCGATTTGTGCGAACTTGGTATTACCATGACATCTTACCTTGTACTTTCGAGAATTTTCTCCTAATACAGTCAGAAGCGTGAGCCAACTATTATAAATAATAAAATATATAATATATAATAATATTAATTATAATATTATATATTTTTATTGTATTACCTAAATGTCATTCGCGTTATCAATAATTAATATTATTAATATTAATTATAATATGTAATTATACAAAAAAAATTCAGATAATAGAGGTTCGTTAGATGTTTGCACGTCCTGCCGTTATTAGTATCCAATAACTTCCACTCGAACATTCTCTATTACAATATGAAATAAATATTATTAAATACTATTTATATTTGTAAAGCAAGTTGGTCCGAATAACAGACACTTGCTGTTTAGTCGTGAGTTCACGTAACTGACAGTAAAGGAAATTTTATGGTATGCCTTCTGTGGCCTAATGTTATGTGATTTAATTTTGACACTGATTTGGTAACAAATAGTCTTAATTATGTTACTCCTTCATTATGTCCTTAATGAAGCCTAAGTTTTCGGACACTCTGCTGTAAACGTCCGAGAACCCTGTCCCGCAGAGCACCGCACGGGACACCACACCAACAACGTTGTCCTTGTAGATCAATGGGTTGCCACTGTCACCCTGAACAAAAGAAGAAACAAGATTATATCGCCTCTGAATCGTGATCCAAATCCGTGGATTGAAATTGTTTATTAATTATCATGCTTATTGTGGCCCTCGTTAACAAGTTCATTACCATCTTATAAAATATGAAAAAGAATATTCTTACAGAAACGTTTGCGTAAAATGCAACAGATCGTGACAAACTATACAGTAAATTCTCCCCAATTGACCCTCAGCTTGTACACAAAAATGGACAATTATTATTCGAGCCTTGCGATTCGTTTTTATAATTGTTGACGATCGGTAACTATAAAAACGAGCCGCAAGGCTCGAATAATCTTATCTCCTGAGGGTCAATTAGGATTGTCCTTATGTGCGACCTTTTTCAATACTGGAAGAAACGTCTTGCTGGAAAAACTAGACGATTAGCTTTGTGGCGGCTACCTCCAGACCTGCCAGCAGAGGGCTCCTCTTCCCGCTAGTAGCCGATCCGTTCCGATCCCTATATATACACCGAGACTTCGTCCTACCCTTACGTCTAAGGCAAGGGCCCGCTAGGATAGCCTTACCGATGAGTCCTTTAGCGGGCCCCGGACGAAACGTCTCCCCTTTTCCTTTTCCACGACCCAGCGAACCGCCGCCAAACTGGTGACCCCGACAACGAACACAACCTTCTGATCAACCTACATCATTGTAAATATTGTACATAGTAGCTTTAAGGCTCTGATGTAGGTTGATTCAGGTGGGATCAGGATCAGGTAACGTTTGCATTACCTCGGGCATTAAACGCGGTCAAGTCGAGTAGAGCTACGCAGGCATCCTTACGACCGCGTCGATGCCCACGAGGTATAGCAAACACCTAGCATGGAGAGGACCTCCATCTTAGATATCGTTATCACTGGCAGGGGGGTATATGGCGGCTACCTCCAGACCCGCCAGCAGAGGGCTCCTCTTCCCGCTAGTAGCAGATCCGTTCCGATCCCTATATATACACCGAGACTTCGTCCTACCCTTACGTCTAAGGCAAGGGCCCGCTAGGATAGCCTTACCGATGAGTTCTCTAGCGGGCCCCGGACGAAACGTCTCCCCTTTTCCTTTTCCACGACCCAGCGAACCGCCGCCAAAGCTTACTGGATACCGTGTAAATAATTTTCTTAAACATCGATACGATCATTGATACGTACGTAACATGCACCAGTGGATGGTCCATTGTTCGTGCAAATTATACTGGCCGTCGTGCAAGTTCTAGTGGCCGTCGTTTGGTAGGGAGTACAATCGTCGGCTATGTAAACGAGCTGATATTGCATCCTATCGTTAGGTATGGGTACGTTGTTGCTGTATCTGCTACCCCATCCGACCATGGTACCATATTTACCTGCGTCCGGTACTATTTCAGAAAGCGAAATAGCATTTGTGGTGGAGTTCCAGGTGAGATCTTTGGTGAGCTGTAAAAATGACACTAATTAGACAGCTCGGATACGGAATTCAGACAGCACTAGAATTGAGAAGAAATTATGATAACGCATTTATCATCTTAATGACCCTCGTCCTCTTTGAACTGTTCGATGAATTGGCAACAAGTCGTTGCTGGAAGTGACGAATGTGCAATTGATCAAGGCACAATCGTTGAGTATATCACCGATAAATGACATTGATATGATAAAATTGAAGTTTAGGCAAGGAACATGTGTACGAATATGTAACGATCGACAGGGATGAGTTTTCATTAACATTTTCACTGCCAGACCAACAACTTCAAAATTTTCAGAAAATTAAAGTAATACATTGTTTCGTTTCTTTCACGAGAAAGTGAAAGAAGATTTTTTAATGTTTAGAGTAGAAGAACAAACATTTTGGTGTTTTTCTTGCAGCTGTGAAATCTCACAGCTGCAACACGCTGAATCAAGTGCTGTTTTAACGCGCAAAACGAATTTTTTTGGTAAAACATAACAACTTTCCGAACGATTTAATATTTAAACAAATTGAAATTCGAAAGTTAATTTGTCCTTAAATTGTCGTTCCCAACGTATTTTATTCCCTCCGCCCCCGAAAATCAAAGCGGAACCGATCAAGTCGGACAGTTTTTATCCGATTCCTTACCTTGATCAATCCGATATCGGTGTCTGATATTTGACCGTTTCCATAAGCGTTATACATGCTATCAACTGTGGACGTGGTACCCGATGATCCATCGTTGACGAAAATCGTTCCCGTCAGAACGGTCACATCGCTTATATTCACGCGTTTTGCTTCTGCCACACAGTGTCCGGCGGTAAGGATGTATCTTTTGCCAATAATCGCGCCGCCACATAAATGTTTACCCGTCACTCTAATGGATGCCATAAAAGTGAACTGCTTATCGCTCGCATCGATGCTATTTATTTTATACGTAAATCCATCGACTGTTACTGAAAAAAAGAAGCAAACGCAGCGGATCATTGCCAATTGTCCGCTGTAACGTACGGAGCAAGTCCCGAAATTGTTGGCACAGGAACGTCCCGAGCTAATTCCGAAGAAGCATGATCGACTGACATGTCCGATAGCCGAGATGTAGCAGACAAGTCGCGGTTTATTGGCAACGCGTGTAAAATAATTCAAAGGACAGTAATTGCAGAACTAGTTTGATAGCGGGAGGTGAAAGTTATTTGTGAACGCTTACCGATCGATATGAGCGCGAGTAAAAAAAGCTGCACGAGACTGGAGAACATGATGAATATTGGTATATTTGCACTGTACTGTCATCGTCGACGGTTTATATACTACTTCGATATATTATATCTACATATCGATAACGATTAGATTCTTCCGATTAGAGGGTTCCACCGAAAATTGGCGTTCCTTCGATGTTCGTGGCTTCGTCGACATATTTCCATTATAAGAGAGCGAGGATGACGTTTGCTTTTAGTCTAATCGAAAACTTCGTTCGCTACAAAGTCAAATTGTATACAGAGATTTATCGTGTCACGTACTCTGAAACTTGACGGGCGTACTGTATTCTTCGATGTTGTTTGCTCGATACAAGAATGAAATTTTAACAAGTGGAGAGGTATCGTCGATAAATTCCATTGAATTTTAAGATTATCCTAATCTTACCTCCGTCTATCGATCTTACGTATCGTATCTGTAATTCGAACGTTTGCGCAATACGTCTTATTATTTCGTTCGGAGTAGAATTTTAGCAACCATGAAAACATTGTGTATATTTGAGCCGTTTATTTTGAAAGTGACATAAGTCACTTTACCGTAATGAAAAGTGGTGATTTTTTAATGTTTATACGAAATTATTTATACCGAGAGAAATATCAGTATCCTGAGATAACAAATACAAGTAAATCTTCTCGAAAGTTAGCATCCATATTTTGAAACGTGTTAAAACGCAAACCCTTAAATATATCGACTTAAAAACAAAGTGACTTATGCCACTTTCAAAATAAACGGCTCATTTAATAGCAGTGTTTACAATAACGCGTGAACAAATGAAGAAACGAGGATATTCTACTAACTTTTGATTGCTCCGAAGAGTGGAAATCATAAACGATTGAAGGTACAGTAAATTCTCTTTAATCGGTTGATTGGCCCGTTTTTATAGCTGTTGACAATCGGTAACTGTAAAAATGAACTGCAAGGCTCGAATAATCGTATCTACTCTTCCCAAATTGTCTATATTTGTGTACAATCTGAGCGGCAATTAGGGAGAATTTACTGTATCTTCTTCGTTTGTACACTTTGAAATTTCGAAGTTATGATCATATTTCGCATGTAACTCTAAAATATGACTAGTAACAACGCGCTAACAACCCGCTTTCAGTTGAAAAGTACTATTAAAACTTACCAATAAAACTTCACGCTACCACTTTCGGTACGATCGATTACTGACGACGATGTCGATTCACATCGACGTATTAATACCGCGGTGCTCGAGATCGAATTTATGGGTGCGGGTATAGATGTAGATAACATATTGATCATGCTCGAACCGTGAAAATTTCGATCGCCTTTAAAGCGTCACGATAGTTTCCTGCTCAGTTTAACGCGTCGAAGCCATCGCGTTGCACGGATGTCGTCGATAAAGTTGAAAATGATCGCGAACACGCTAATCTTGTATCTAACATTAGACATAGTCGAGGCGAGTTTCGCAGATCATGGTGACAATCGAATCAACTAACACAATTGAAGGTAAGTTTGAGCAATCAAGACGTTCGGAAGTTCATTGTTACACGTGCAGTTATACAATTTCGACGACGGATAAACGTAACGATTGAACAGAGTGCATCGTAGACTCGTCGATCGTAATTACCAAGCAACTGCTTGGCGAAGGAAATTCATGTTGTCCGCAGTGGTGCTGTATATGTCTGGATATCCTTTCGCGCAGAGCACCGCGCGGACCGCTACAGCGACGATCGTATTGTTCCAGACCAGAGGACTTCCACTGTCGCCCTGAGTGAAAGGAAACAGAAAAGAAACGTTGGTGAAATTGCGTTCGAAACGAAACGAGGATTCTAGTTATTAAATCTTTGACACGTACGGAGCATACACCAATGTTCACTCCGTTGTACGCGCAGACTGCCGTGGTGATGTCCTGATAGACTTTCTTGCAATCGCTGAACTTGATCATACGGACGGTCTGATACTGTAACAGCTCAGGAGGTTGGATCGGAGGAGGTGTTATGCCACCCCATCCGCTGATAACGGCGTATTGTTCTTCTGGTGGCCTGGCATTGGACATTGAGATCGGACTTTGGAGCTTGTCGAAAGTAATCGGATTGGCCAGCTGTAAAAATCCATCCAAATTACATTTATCTTACGATGCGAACGAGAATTTTTCTCTATCAATTCATATATTTATATGTTTATCGATCACATTATTACCGTATTAATAATAATATTATTCAATTTCCCGCATAAAAAAGCTGTTGCTAGCATGAACGACTTTCGTGACCAGCTACAGTGAACGTGCGAACAGAAATTAATTGATACCGATTGAACCAGTTAACTGTGGCGCCTGCTTTTCATTTTACTATTTTATGAAATTAACAATTTTATTACTAATATTTACTCGTTCACTTAACATTAACATATGCTACATACATAATAAACGAAAAACGCGGGAACAATCAAGCACTTGTAAAAGTTACAAATTCAAAGTGCTGTTGTAGAGCGGTATTCTGTCTTATTCTATCTCATTTTGATAACAATGTAAACACTTTTGCGTAGGATTGGCCTAAAAATATTCTAAACATCTTGAAATTTCAGAATATGTTTTTGTTTTCGCTAAAATTACAGTTTAAGTAGCCAATGGTTACCGCTTTGTACGCGCGACGAGTGTACTCGCCGTGACACAAAATACTGTCGCTTCTCCGTGACGAGTATACTCGTCAAACACAACTAACTGGTTAATTGATATCTATTTTCACCGGGATCCTTACCTTGATAATAGCAACATCCTTGTCAGGGTCCTTCTCGTATCCAGGGTCAGAAAGCATAGCAGCAACGGGGTACGTGTTACCGCCTTGGGTGCGCGAGTTGGTTCCGGTCACAATAGTTACGTCCTTTATGTCATTTTTCATGGCTGCTTTGACACAGTGCGCGGCAGTGAGGATATTACGAGTATCGAGGATCGCGCCACCACAAATGTGGCGGTTTTTTACTCTAAGGGACGCCATGTAGGGGAACTGTCCAGGCTTGGCTTCCAATCCACCGACAATCCGTTCTGGATTATCGGCGGTTGCTAAAAGAATCAAGCATAATAGAATGAATAAATAATATAAAACAAAATTCCAGTATTTCAAGCCGACGATTCTTCGTTTTTAAACATGGCCGAGCAACATTAGTAGATCAACGAAGCAGTTATTTACTTGTCGAATCCTATTCTGAATTTCGATCTCTACAAAACATGCCGCAGAAATGGTAAAAAATGGGGAAAAATAATTTTATTGAGCATTAAATGGAACACACACATAAATGGCAACGCAATGAATTACGAGCATATTTACGATAGCTTAGGGGATTATCATTCGATGACAGCTTCGATAATATTAATTGGATAGTTAGGGATACTTACCAAGCGCTATGAGAGCGAACAAAAAGAGCTGCACAAACTTGGAGTACATGATGGACATTGCCGTTTACTGATCCATTCAATCACGGTCAGCGATGGTTTATATAGGTATGCATCCATATAAACATACACATTGATAACGATTAGATTATTTCGATTAAATTAACGAGATAATTCTATTAATGTGCATGGATCGGGCTAATACCGTACTTATCAATTTTTATATTATAATACGTATAATTTTA